TACTTCTTACACGAGTGAATTAATTCAGTTTCGTCTAATTTTTATTTTCCAATCTTTATTTAGAAAACTAATATATGCTGCTTATACTTCGTATAATAGAATATTAAATGCAAATATACTTTTAATATCTCAATGCTATTGACAGAGATTGTTCTTAGCATGATATACTTTAGCAAGCGAGGCTTATCTAAGCCTGCATTCAGTAGAAGGTCACCCACTTTTATATAGTCTTTACACACGCAATAATCAATATAAAGTTTCACGAAACTTATTTTTCACGTTCAAGTGCAACTGAAAGTGTCTAAATTAAAACATTCATTCTTTATTTCTATTTCCTTTGTGCTAAGTTTATTCAGTCTTGACACATTGAATTGATAATATATAATAAACTTGAAATTCTAATCTTGTTGGCACTCGTGGTGTTTAAGTTCCAGGTATTAAAATGCATACTCAAGTATGTGAACGAAGCCAGGATACCCCCCCCCCCCCGGGGGGGGGGGATTAACCCTCAAACAACCACAATAGCGATCATCAAGGATCCTCTCTTATTTTGATAATAGCTCCTTCATTTAATTGAATCGATGAATGCTATTTAAGACTCTCTGATTGTCTAAGGATTAATGCAACCGGGTGTAACTCCGTATAAAGGAGACAAAGCTTACTGAACGAATCATGCAAGAGTTGAATTTGCAACCTACTATCGCTTTTATAAAATAAAGAATGTATATTAATAAAAGTAGAATGTTAACTTACGTCCTGTGGAGCAGCCTGACCGTCAGACGACGTTTGCTGACACGAGGTATCGGTGGGGTAAAACAACTGCTGATCGGTTAATCCCATGGGCGCGTGTGGTGGAGGCGGTGGGTGGGGTCCGGTTGTGAAAGAGTAGTAAACGTGATCCATCTGCGGAGGAGGAGGGCCTGCAGGCACCGGTGGATGATGATGCGGTGGTGGCGCAGCAGGGGCGTAAAAATGCGCGGGTGGTGGTGGAAGCAAAGATGGAAGCGGCGGCGGCGGACCTGTCGGTGGACTGGTTGCCCCTGTGCCATTGTTGCCACTTCCGGAATTGCTGTTACCGCCGCTGGTGTTGCTTTGCGAATTGCTAGTGGTGTACAAGTACGGGTGAGCTCCGGCGGCGGTCGCCCCTGCATAATACGTCTCGTACTGCACAGAAAAAAGAGAATTCGACGATGATGCATTCGCACTTACACGTGACAGTGCATAAAATTAAGAGAAACATCTATTTTACACAAAAAATATTGTACATTATCGGGAATGTCTTCGACGAGTTTCTCTCCGAGTGTTTCTCTCTTTACAAGTTCATTCGCGATTCTAAAAGAGATCAGTCTCGTCGTGGAGTACTAAGGTCAATGTACATGCTATGAAACAAGAGTCTTCAGAAATGAATATAGCGTTCGAAGAACTCTCGAATATTCTATACATTACCTCGAGTCGACTTTACTCATTTTTTTGCGCATGCCTATAATATAAACATACGCATTATGTAGTGCTTGTTACGTGCAAGTTTATTCTAACTCCTACTCTTTTATGGAGTGATTCGAGAAAAACGAACAATATTTGCGAGGACACGATACATATAAAAAGTATCTTAAAACAAAAATCACCTTAAAACGTGATACGCACCATGTGTTACGGGTACATTGTTCCGTATTCTCTATGCAACAGATAAGTCGTAGTATAAAAGAATAATATGATAAAATGTGATATAGATGCTGCATTGTGAGACACGCTGTCGAAAAAACATTTGCGACATTCAATAGTGTAGTAAAATTTTGGTTGCGGTAAGCGTAAGGAATACATATTCGATGAATAGATGAATTACATAAAATGTAAGAAACTTGTGCGCAAGAACTCGTATGAAAAACTATTAATAGAAATCATGGATTATGAAAGAATGTCAAGTGTGCATGCATTGATAGGCCATGCAGAAGACTGACAAAGAAAAACGCACAGGGATGATGCGCTGCATGCTAGTCATTTAGCATAGACCATGTACCTTTAGACCTCAATACTGTATAGCGTCGAGAAGGACGTAAGTAGGCATTTGCTGAGGGTTGGGTAGAAACGCCGGTGGTATGGCTTCTCCCATCAAACCATTTGTCTGTCAAACCGCAACCGATTTACCGTTTAATATAAATACAAGCTATGCCCGTGGACAATTCATAGGATGTTCAATTCATACATAGGGCCCAAATAAGGGAAGTATCGAAGAAAGAGATTGGCAGAGTGTTCATTCGATGTTTTACTCACCGGTATGGGCGAATACTGATACTGCTGTGGCATATAGAGAGATGGAGCAGGACATGGGTACATCACAGGTGCAAATGTTTGATGACCAGCAGCTTGTGGTCCTAATCATTCAAGTAAAACTTTTTTATTAGAATCGCTCGAACTTTACCACGAAAGATTACAATTTTATTTGAAAACTTACCAAACACTCCTGTGGCTTGATAAATAGTTGCTGGATCGGTCGGAGGAGCAATTGGTGTCGTTGGTGCGGGAGCTGTTGTGTTGTAAAATGTCATTCCATTCTGGTACGTAAGACCCATACCTAATAAAAAATAAGAAAGAAAAAATAAAGAAACCAATGTTGTAATAATGTACTAAAAATGTAAACATTCAATGGTAAAGTATACTGACCATTTGTATAATAGTAAGGACTAGTAGGCACAGAGGGTGGAGATCCAGAACCACCATCAAAAGATCTATTGAATGGTTGCTTTTTAATTGCAGGTGCTATATTTAGTTTCCTTTCCCTTAACACAATGCATTCAGACTATAAGCAAAACAATTTATAATTATCAGTACAATTCCTTTTATGCTTCAATATTGAACAGAAACAAATATCCATTACAAACCTCTTGTTGAAGCCTTTTAGCTTCCTCTTCAGTTTCAAATGTAACAAATCCATAGCCTTTAGAGACACCAGCGCGATCAGCAATTATTTTTGTAGCTTTTACATTGCCATAAGAGGAAAAAAGTTGAGCAAGTTCTTCTACGCTGGTGTTAGCTGAGATACCACCTACGAAGATACGATTTGGTACTAATGTACCATATTTTGGAGCAGCCATAGTGAGACTTGTAGCCGAGGCAGGGCTAGAGGCTGGACTAGACCCCTCAGTTCCACCCGTTGATGCCGAACTCTAAATAGTACGACTAATATTAAAATAACAAAACAAAGAGCTAGTAAATTGTATAAAATATAAACAAATAGTAATATATACATTTTAAAACATTGTCAAGAATTTACATATATTCACACATTACAAGATTTTATAGCTCGATGTTTGATATAGTTTACATGTGTCTCTGTATGTTGTCATATGCTACATGTTATTTACCACAGCTACATTAATTTCTCAAAAAAAATCGTATGACTGCCTGTGTTATGAAATATAGGAAACATTAAGTGCCAATTTTTTTTCAATTAACAAACTTCTTCCAGTCTAATGTACAGTTCGAAAACTGACAACGTCGTTTAATTCATGTTATCGTACCGCGAAACTTAAAATGCAAAAAGAAAAAAAAACGATATCTCATATGCACCAACCTAATAAAAATATTGACAAGCAAGAGTTGTCCGTTCGACACTGAAATTCGAGGCATCTATACAGGTTAAATCATCGCCTACACTTAACAGAGACATCGTCTAGTGCATCGATGTCCTGCACGCGAGATATCGCGTCAATATGAAAATTCGTTCACGAATGAAAAATCGGTTTGTCGAAGGGTTAGATGAAAATCTTCGTGCAAAAGAGAGCTCACCATCTTCGCGAGAGTCGGGCGTGTAAATGAGTTTCCTGGCCGTGGGTTTGTCCTAGCAGCTTGAAGGTACCCTGGCCTCGCACGAGGTCACCTGGGTGCCCAGGGACTGCCAAGGACCGTTGCAACCACTTCAAAAGGACTTCCAGCCTCCGGCGAAGCTGCTGTTCCTTCTCGCTAAACCTCCAAACACTACAGAGACACTTTTACAAGATGGCGGTCGTACGCGCCGTTCAGGGCGCTAATTTCTCAGATTTTAAATTTTCGATCCAATTCGACCGTTGTCTACGTTTCCAGCCTCGCGGAAGGAAACTCGTAGACATTTCTTACATTGGAAAGGATTATTTCTGATTCCTTACTGGACCAACATACAATGTTCCGAATACAAAAGCTTATTAGATTTGATTTAAACTGTAAGATAATACGGAACGTACTATTACACGCGGATCAATTCACCAGCGTAAACGTCGATCAAAGTTTATATGACCTATTGTAATATTTAGGAAAATTAACTTGAATATAAAACATCTAGATATCACTGTATAAATTGACTAATGTAGTGTCATAACGTAATTGTGAAAGTAATTTAATTATTATTAAACAAATATCTGCATCGTGTGCTTGGAAAGCTACGTTTTTTCAAACGATGCCAATCGCGGGTAAATCAGTTCTGTCGTAATGGCGGTGATTGATTGTGGTTACTATGGTTTTTTTTCTATGGAACTTACCTAATTCTGGATATAGAAACATTCGGGGAATTGCTTCACAGCGGCGAACATGATTACCTATTGACTACCTCGCAATGAATAATCGAATAAAAACACTGAAATTGAAACGAGGAACGAGAACGGAGAGAAAAACGAAAATGTGCTTCTTTACAGCATTGTTGACTTCGAAAGACTAAAACATTCACCGCCGTACTACTCTGGTCGCCGTGACCTCTGTAATTTTATCGATACGACGACCGAATTTGTTTCCCGTCCGTGTGTCGTTGCCATAAATTTAATTAATAATTGACACAATAAATTTTGATTACAACATGAGCAACCACCTCGCAAACAATGTGTTCAATGAGATATAACAGCGTTATTTTGAGTACGGTTGTGCTTTGAATTTTGTCTGCATTCGATGTTCAAATGTTACGAAAACTATGACAAAAGACAATCGTAAACGACTGGTAACGACATGTAACGACTGGAGTAACAAATATGGTAGAGTTAATAGTTCGAATAAAATTTTTATTAAACTCAATAAATGCGTATATACAGGGAATGTACAGTCAATTATTTTACACAGCCTAGGCTTTAGACGTTATTTGCATTGAAGTACGTCGTTGTACTCGTAGGAATACCGTACAAAGTTCTCTCCGAAATTTGGTAATCCGAAATTACCTCCGTAGCGATATTCAAACTCTGAAAATCAAAGAAAGGTGTAGATTACTTTAGAAAAATCTAGATTTCTCATTTTCTCAAGCTGGTCTTTATTCTTATTCAATTATTTATTTATTATTATTTTAGCTACAAAACACATGAGAGAAAATAAATAATTTAAGTTTTTCCAATGAAATATTAATAGTTGCGTTCAATTAATAAATAATAATTTATGTAATAAAAATTGCGGAAGATCAATTGTCGTGTAAAAACAGTACTCGCATCCACTTGATAATCGACTTACGTATTTTTTGTGCATGGAAAGACAGAAAGTGCAAACTTGTGGTCTTTGCGAGTCTGCCCAATGATCTGTCCCATACATACTGTTCCCGATACGTGAACAGGGTTGATCTATGGGGCCTGCAACGAGGATGGCACCCAAATGGCTGATGTAACTGCTGGCTAATCTCAAAGTCTCTATTTTTGACAATTTTCTATCCACCGGTTCCGTCGGTATTAAAGTTCTCAAGGTGCTGAAAGCCGTGTTCACACTGCACAGTGAAGATTGGAATTCTTGAGTCTTGTAGCTGTTTGCATTCCTTACCCTCCAAAATGATAGTCACAAATTTTCCACTATTGGTATGCAAAGTTTCGTTCATATGCTACTCAAATATTCCTGAACAATTCCATGGAAATTGGAATTGAAGAATTGAGACTTGAGATGAAAGAAGAATTGTACTTTTAATAGATTTACTTGATGTTCAATTTGTATAAATAATTGTAGCTTTCAAAGTATTGAATTGAATCATTGTAGCCATCCAAGTAGCTAATTCTTGAATTATTTTGAGCAGCATATAAAAAGCCAATTTACTTTTTACTTATCCTCCTCTTAATAAATGCTCATTGTGAACATATACATGAGATTTGCTGTAGATGCTTACTTTCTGTATTGTAAATATACTCTTAAGATGGTTAATAGACTCACAGACATTTATGAGTTTAATCTACAAATATATACATTGTTACATCTTTAACTGTATTTATATAAGTAAGTCTAATACCAGCAGAAGAGTGAATTTTCTACATAACTAAGAAAACACATACCTTTAGGACAAATATAAACACATGCTTCGTACAATGTTTCTATTACAATTTTATTATAACAATAAGTCAACAATTAAGTCTACACCCAAAATATCCAAAAGAATACAAGAATTACAAACGAAGAAATAAATATACCAGTACGAACGTGTATTACTATACGTGGTTCGTGCCATCGTTCGAAAAAAAAGTTTTTAATGTTTCTAACAACAAACAAAAATTATTTTCACCTATGAGTCCGATCCCTTTCACGTGCATTCGCTTGATAACGTTGTTTCATCGATTCTTCTTTCCTTCGTGCAGCCATGCTGCATCGCACAGTTATCAGTTAATCGTTATACAACTTTGTTAACTTGAAAGAACGATCCGACTACACCGGCAGCTCATTTATGAATGACTAAGCTCCGACGGCTTCTGTCGCTTCCTCCAGGATTCCCTCTTCACCGACGTGTCACTCTTAACCCCGCCCCCCGTTACTCGAATAACACATGTGAACTGCACGTGCATCCGACCAGGGGCGAACGAAGCACTTGCATGATGCTTCACTAGTAAAAACACAACACGTTAATGACAGTTCATAAAAATCGTACAGGGGAAAAAATACACATAATATAAGTACATATAACAAATTAAAAATAAAGAGACGACACTGTAACGCCAACAATATAATTATAGTAAAAGCTTGGAACACCGGGTAATCAATAGGTTCAAAGTTCATTGCAGTAGAAATGTTCTGAAAATCATAACATGCGGTTCTTTAAGATCAAATAAAAGTACTTCGGATCGATATAAATGTTAGAACTTGCAGTCTAAGACTTCTATCACTATTACCTTTTTATAATTAAAATGTCACAGATAATGTGAAATATTCTGCTGTCTTAAATACAAAATTTTAGTGCTGTTGTCGTTTGACAAGCGGTTCTGAATAGTACGGTCAACGTGACACTTGTACTTCCTGCACACTCACACTAGTACATGTGGATGTGATGACTCCCACGTAAAGTGGTTGGAAGCTGGGTTTCACATTACGGTCAATAAAAACAAGCCGACAACCGACAGGAAGAGCGAGGAAAACAAATTCCATGTGTAAAACTAATTAGGACAGTTCCATACAGCTTTCAGCCGACTCATCACTGTCTCCTCTACAAATTCATTTAACGTTAGAACTTGGATACAAACTATGATAAGATGACACCAAAAGATAGTCTTTTATAAGACAGGCATTTATTTCTGTCCAGGGAATCCAGTGAAAGGCAAACTGGTAAAAGGAAATTATACAATAATTTGATTTTCTGATTACATATAATTTCATTTTGGTGCGTTTTCCTCCTCAGGTAGAGTAGATTGAAAGTAGTCTGCTTGTGTAATATATTACAGCCTTGTAAGTGCAAGCAGACAAATAATACATTGATCGCTGATTTTCCACGACGTAAAACATATTTTGCCATTACTAATCATTTCAGACGCTACCTATGGAGATGTAAAACAAATAGAGAAAGAAAAGATACCATATAAAACTGGACGTTTCTATGAAATATTTACTTAGTTAAATAACTAGATTACATTGAATTAATTGTATAGCAGAAAATTTACATGTTCGAATGGTCATCAGAATAAAGGATTACTTTGTTTTATTGAAAAACGTTACGCATCAATTTCCAACGCCTGCACCGTACAGGATTATTTCCGTGAAATCTGCGGAGCGCACTACCATGGATGATTATGCGTTCACACACACCGTTTTTCTATAAACTTTTAAACTTTGGTCACTTTGTTACAAAGTTTTAGTACTAATCAGCCGCTCGATCGAACTAGTATCAAACGCTCATGGTTTTCAAGGTAAAATCTTAAAGGATACATATAGAAAATATACAAATTGTCCGACACAGAAATTACAATAATATTAAAACTTAAGTTATATTCTTATATATACTAGAACACGGAAGGTCTATGAACTGTTCATGATCGTTACGAAAACACGAACAGTTCTAAATATGTTCGGAAATTACTCTACAAATTATAAAATTATTTATTTATTTATTTCGAAGACACGATTCATGTTCGTCGGATATTCATGTATAACGAAAGAGGGGAGCAATCTATTATTTTCTTGTGAGCACGGAAAGACTAAATCAGGCGGTGAACCATTTTCCTTTGAACACTTTGGCATTATCACCGCTATAAATCAAAATCAAACGGAACGAATCTCTTTTCAGTAATATGGTGGACTCGTAATGCAATTATGTATAGTATGTATATACCTAGAGATTTCAAACAAATTTACATGTCAAGCGGTTCTCTATGGTGCTAGACTTAATCTAGCACTATTTCCGATAATCCTTTTTATTTTGTTTTGTTATCGTGTCATATTTACACTAAAATGTTACATGACGTAACAATCCTTACGTTTTTTTCACATCTTGTGTTTTACTTGTATAGCTCTAAGAGACCGTAAAAATAATTTCTGATCCTAAAACGTAAGGTCTTTGACTTACATCCTTGCACCTTTTTTATTTAAATCACGGCGGTTGAACACCGCGAGACGGTGATATTCTCGTTGATTGCAAATCTAACGAGACAATTTCCGTTCCTAATCATGAGGGATAATCATTAGAATATATAAATACAATTACACTTAAGGGCGTGATCCACGTGCGGCTTCTTCCAGTGCGCGAACTTTAAGCTCGCGATCGCGCTGTTGTCTAAAAAACACCCTTTGTTAGTCCGTTTCACTGGTCGTCTAATCAAGCATACAGTATATGCAAGCTTTGATAATGATTTCAAAGGACGAACCTTAGATATTCCTCGTGATGAGCTACGAGCGACGCATGAGGCGGAAATCGATCGCGTTCCATCATGAGGTGACGTTGAAATTGTTCGTGATGCGCTGCTATGTCCGCATACGGTCTTCCGAGAAGTTCAGCGGGATGAAGCGCCAGTCCTGGGTCACGTGGCATTAAGCCTGGTCGAGGATAGTTCGCACCAGCTGCTGCTATACACACAGAAAGTATTAGCAAACCATCATTCTAATCGTACGTATCCTTATACGATATATCAAGCTTTGAAGTTTTTATGGGTAAACAGACATGCATGACAGCGCGTGAGACTCGTTCAAATGACATTTACTTGTAGTGACAATCGTTCCCTTTTTTTTTGTCTAGCGATGATAGATGATACCGTGGTGATGATGACGATGATGGTATATTACAAACAAAACGATACAATGACTAAAATATTATGAATGGTATGTGGCTGTTACATTGGTAAATTAGGCGGGTGTTTGTGATTGTGCAGTTTCAAAAAAAAGGATTCTGGTGCAAAACGGACGCCATATCACTTCCATCCACGCACGTAACCACGCATACAATTCTCGCAACACTCGCGCACTTGCACGTTACTTGAACGCAATCGAATCATCATTTATCGCTCGTACCTTCACCCTAAAAAGCTTGATGATCGAAAAGCTCGGTGCCAAGTTATAATGGCGTAGCGAGAGAAGCGACAGAAAAATGCAAAAAAAAGTTTGCCGCAGAGAAAAATTTGTCTTGATATATATATATATATATATTTTTTTTTTTTTGATTCTTCGTCTTTAAAAGTAAGTTCTTACGATAATTAGGAGGATGCTCTCCGTTTAGTTAAAATTCTGACTGATGTTAAACTGATTGAATGAAAAGCACGCTTTTAGTACGCTTACACGCAATCGACCGATTTACCGATCACAGCCTACCAAAGAGGATCAAAGGAGCAACAACACTTTAAGACTTTCACAGATTACACGGACAAACTGTACATCGATAGAAAAATAGTTCAAGTGAAAAGGCTGTATACTCTTTCTAATCTTTCTTCGATTAAACATGTCTCGTTGTTCCATGTTAGTTTTATAATGAGCTAACACTTTTGTTTACGTTGACATTAACAATTGCGATCACTGGGATTATTATTCTGCATTTAAACTGGAACAAGAATAAAGAATCCAGGGAGAACTTGTCATGACCTTCAGGTACCATCGTGAGATACGTATACTTGGTGGCAGAAATATAGCGAGGTAGAAACAATAAACAGCAATGGCGATAGCGTAACCTGATTGTTGGTAGTCAAGATCCCAAAGACGAGTTTTGGGATCAAGGGTCTGGACATACCGAGCGAGAAATACATTTAGATGCTGGTAGTCTTAATACAAAATTTTCGAGGTCAACGCATACCTATTATAAATAAAGTTACATCTTTGTGATTAAATAGAGAAAGAACAAACTAATTTCTTAATAGAATTCTTAAGTCGTTACAATATTGTCCCTACAAATTACAGTAAAAGTAAGTAGTTTAGCGTTAACGGTATCGCTTTCAATTCCACTACATTCCTTCCAGCAAGTATCTCCGAGGACATAGCAATTATCTGGCTGATATACTACGGAAACGATTTTTATCGGCTGTAAGTAGAGACGGTCGGTGAAAGGGGCGATCATCGTGCAGGAGCGTACTTAGACATCCTGATTTGTAGGACCTACCAGGCAGGGGGAATCCAGCTGCAGCCGCAGCCGCTTCCTGCTGTTGCTGAGCCTGTTGCTGGGCCTGCTGCTGTCCCGGATGTAAGTGCAAGTGCGTATGCGCATGCGTATGCGCGTGAGTGTGAGCATGATACTCGGGCGAAATGCCAGCCATCTGCAACCGGACCATCGGGTCAGCAGCTAGAGCCAGTCGCTCGTCCAGCTGGCCGTGGTGATGAGCCGCCACGGGATGGCCAGCCCCTGCACCCGCTGGCCCCCCGCCGGCTGCAGTCGGTATCCCTAAACCCGACAGCGCCTCGATCAAACATACTGTCCTAGTCGTACTCTTAACGCTAGCCAACTATATCTTTCTCCTGACAACGAATTTTTCTGTTTTGTGCGGCACACTTCTGTCAGACGTCCGACGTTTCCGACTGGTAGCTGCGTATTTAACTACCTGAACGTTTCGAAAGCGACATGCGTAACGATACACAACAACCAGTCATACAGGGCCGGCTTCACGCACCCGGCCTGATAAGCGTCGCGAGATGAGCGCTTAAAGTCGGCACGCAGAACCGATTCTATACAGTAATTCCCGCTTTCAAGTGACAAACTGAGGACCGCAGGTTCACTTGAAAGCGGGGTAGCTGGCGATTGATTTTCTCTCGAGAAATGATAATATTTATACTTTTCAGTATATCTTTATGGATGTCTCATCGATGGATAGGCAAGGTACTCTTGATGAAATGGACTCCAATTACGATCTTATTCGATGGCGCGAGTGTTCGAGAAAAATGGTAATCAGAATGAGATCGTGTTGGAATATTTTTTCATCTAAAAGATTGCACATGTCCATTGGTAATACCATCGTGTAGATATATTGATAAATATGACAAATTTCTGTTTTCATATATACAGATCGTCCCAGTTTAATCTTTGAATGCATATATTTTGAAAACTGCTTTGATTTTCTAACAGGTTGTTGACTGAATTTATTTGTGAATTTTGTTAACTCTTTGCTATGTAAATCGCGAACAAATTCTGGGACCCAATGAAACTATTGAAAATAAAAGAAAAGCTTTGCACGCAAATATACACGTTATTGTACGACTTTGGTCAATTTGTAAATACAAAAGGGTTTCAAAGAATATTAACAATTATTTTAACGAGCTATTATTACGCTCTATGAATTCATAGTAAAAAATACACCTCGTTTCAGTAACTCTGAAATAACTCTGACATCCAATATAATTTCCGAAATATATGCATTTACAAATTACAATAGGACGCCCTGTATATCACTCATTTGCTGCAACAATGACATAATCTGACATAAATTTTCATTTATCGATATTCCTATACCAATAACTCATAAACGGCAACTTTACGATTGTACAGCAAATGAATGATGTGTTTGTATAGACTAATCACTCTCGTCTAGGACTGCCGGTCACGCGAGTCAACGATTCGCTCGCGCTGAATAAACATAGACAATGTCGAGGATGATTCCATTACTCGAATCCGTTGTGAAAATTGTCACTCGAAAGCGAGAATTACTGTAGTATGTTAGAGAGCGGAGAGGCGACGAAAGGGTATCCGCATAGAGGAATCGATGTACTCGTAGCCGGCCCTGTAGTTACTGTAGCAGCAGCCAACATCCGGAAACGCTCACTATCTCGCTTTATCTCTATCGCCGTAGATCCTAAATTTCGATTCTGTCATATCGAATCAGAATCGTTGCTAATTTTTGTTCATTCCACTATGCGAGAAGAAAGATATGCATATTCAGGGGAACAGTAAAAGTTACCTAGTCTCTCTAAACGTTCCCTTTCCAGTTGGCTAGGACCAGGCGGTGCACCGTAGAGGCCGAACTGATGCAAAGCTTGAGGAGGTCCTGACGGTCCAGGCGCGAGTCCCGCCGCTGCGTAGCGACGATGTATCTCCAACCAATGCGGATCCACCGGTGCTGGCATCGGTCTAGGCGTTCCTTTCAGGAGCTCTTCTTTTAATCGATCGTTCAAATCTCTTTCTCGCAATTCTCTGATCTCGCGTTCCCTTTTTTCGCGCTCCAGGTGCTCCAGTTCCAAGCGTTCTCGCGTGGGACTGTACATGTAATGTAACATTGGATCTGGTGGCGCCGGATGCCTGGCAGGTGAGAACGCAGCGTGAGGACGCGCGTATTCCGACAACTGTCTCAACGCGGGAGTATCTGCGTACGACCCAGGCCTCGCCGCGTACCTGTCATAAGGCGAAACGACTGGCTCGAGAGGTCCTCGACTTGGAGGTTTACAAACTTCCGGTTGCTTTTCAGGAGTCGTCATTTTTCTAGCTTGCTGTGCCGCGGCTCTGTCGCGTTCTTCTCTTTCCCTTTCCGCTTGTTTTCTAGACCTCTCCTCGCGTTTTCTAGCCAACTTTGAATCTGGTACAGGTTTGAACATTAAGTCCGTTCTGGTGCAAGAATTATTCTCTCCTCGATTCCAGTGACGCAAGAAAATAGCTGACTGCGACCTGTGACATTCCGAGTCTTCGATTCTTGGTTCAGGAGACGGGCCTCGGGGACTCGGCGGTTCCTCTTGATCCTGCTCCACGAGATCAGGCTCTAATTTCGGCTCTGGAGCGACAGGTTGTTGGGGTTGCTGCTGTCTATGGTGATGATGAGCCGAACTGCTGGATGTCAGACACGTTGCAGAAACTAGCGACGGTTTCCGTTGAGTATTGTGTGAACTGTGTGACGAAGAGTGGCTATGGGAACTGTGAGACGAGATAGTCAACAACTTATCGTGGTGCAACGTTGTGGCTTGATGCATACTGGAAGAATGGTGATGCGTAGCGATAAGATTTTCACCCTCCTCTCTAGTTGTCACGCTGGAACTGGTACTCGAGTGATGTGCCGTCATCATGGTCGTGCTTTCTTGACTCCTCTGTGGCGACGGCGGTGGAATTGCGTGAGGTACTGGACCGTAAGGATATGGCGGGAAGGAGGGATATCCTCCAACTGGAGCGTATCCTGGATAAGCGTGAGGATGATACGGATGCATCGCGGTGAACAAAGAATGATGCATCAGTGGATGATGTGGGTGGAACGGATGAGCCATGTGTGGACTCGGTTGCTGGGCTGGATGCATCACAGGCTGGGGAATAGATGTGGGTGGCGGCGGAAGAGTCGGTGTCGGTGATGCGACTACAGACTGCATCTGTGGAACAGGTTGGTTACTGGACATGGAGTGTTTACTTGGGGTGGGCGGTTTACTGGAACTGTCTGGGTCCTTTTTAATATTCTCTAAGCTTGGGCCTGGGAAACCAGTCTGGAAACCAGGAACTTTGACTTCCTTCAAGCTCTGGAGTGGATCTGGTTCCGGGGGAATAATCTCCTGTTTGATCTTCAAGTTCTGTGGCTCCATTGGCGGCGTTCCAGCCAAATTGTACATGGAAGATGGTTTCTCCATAGACATAATTCCACTTGGTTGAATCGGCTGGAATAAATTACTTGGCTCGTTTCTCTCGGGCTCGTTATTGTCTGGTCGCTCCGGGATTCTCTCAGGTATTCTATCAGGTATCCTACCATCTCGCATTCGCTCCGGAGGAAGTCTGTCGTCAGAGATACGCTCCGACATTCTATTCTCAGAAGACATTACAGTTAAACCAAGAGGTTGCGGCGAACTCGACATCTGAGGCATTTGCGTCATATTCGTCGGTATACTTTGCGAAATATTGAGGTTCAACGGTGGTCCCGGTATACTTTGGGGAAGATTTTGCGCGTTCGACATATTTTCAGCATGAGTTCGAAGATTCTGCGTTGGTCCCATGTTTTGCGCGTTTGACATATTCTGAGGCATATTCGGTGGCATTTGCATGCTCTGCGATAAGTTCTGCGGTACATTTTGAACAGGAGGAACATTAGATGTATATTGCATATTAAGTGGCAGTCCTTGTTGCGTTGGAGACATTATTTGCGAGTTCTGTATATTCTGTGGACCAGTCGATGCGCAAATACCGCTACTTTGAATCGATTGAGACAGATTACGCGGCATATTTTGACTCATGTCGTTCATGTTCAATGGCTGCGATGTAGTCAGATTCAGTTGCTGGTCAGGCTCTTTCATATCTTCGTTAGACGGAGACATGGCTGGTTCTATCGGTAATGGTTCCAACTTCAAGGGTTGATTCGTAGCTAAAGGTACATCGTCTATTTGATCCTTGGTTTCTACCGGTTCTTCTAACAAAGGTTTCTTGTCCAAGGTATGAATTACAGGAACGGATATCGGTAAAGTCTGTATAGGTGTCGGTACAGGAGTAGAGACTGGCGTTGGTTCAGAAGGTTCCTCCGGTGTAGTTACAGCCGGACTCACGGGCTCCTCTGTTGGTACTGTAACCGGAGTGGGTTGATTTTCGTTTGTATCACCTTCCCCTTCTCTTTCAGGCTCATCCATGAGAGAATTGCTATCGGTTGTGAGCGACTCTGAAGGACTCTCAGGACGTTCACCGCGTTTCCGTTTCTGAGACTCCTTATCCTCGTCCACCTCGTCCGTTTGAGGTCGTTTCTGACCTTTCTTCGGGGTTTCTGGTTTGCTTGAGGATTTCTTTTTGCTTTTGTCTGGCGTTTGTTGCTGTTGCTGTTGTTTCTCTTGATCGGGAGTATCAGTTCCACCTGTACGTCGAGGTCTTGCGGGTCTAGGCGTTTCCTTGGCCTTATTTCGTGTACGCATTCTCCCTGGGCTATCTGGTGATTCCGCAGGCACAGGGCGGAACAGATACGGAGGAGCAGGCGGCAATTCTCCGGTTTTCTTCAAATGTATTCTGCATTCCGTACAAAGCAATAATCTGTCTTTGCCGGCTACCTGATAATCCTTCGAGTTAGTCGAGAAGCAGTGTTGGCACGAATGCGTCGCTCCGTTAGTATTTGTATCTCTAGAATCGCTATCTTCCTCCGAATTATCGTCCTCTGTCACAGAACTAATTTCCCCGCCAGGATTATTGCTCGCAGGTGTTCCAACAGGTACCGTTTCAGGCTCAGAAATGGGCTCCTTCTGACTGACGCTAGCTGGCGGGGTGTCTTTGGGAGGAGTTGGGACTTCCTCTTTGGGAGTGCCCGCTCTCGAATTACGCGTGTTACGAATTCTTCTAAGCGAACCCTGTCGCCGTCGTCGATGAGGTCTATTATTATTTGCACCAGGCGTTTTCTTCCATAAATAATAGAATTCGACCAATTCCGGCTAAAAATATAAAATAAAAAAATATCTACAATAATTCCTACTATCCCGAGCCTACCTTATTCGTAAATTGTTTTCGTTTACCGTGTCTTTATGAGGTAAAAGATCCTTTCTGATCCTCGAAAAGTTTTTCCCAAATTGGCGAAGTCCTTTGACGAAGCGTTTCTACGAGACAGAGCGACGGCCGATTAATTGTGTGCCTGGCACCTTTCCTTTTAAATAACGTGATCCGCACGTGTAATTATGAAAACGCGACTATTTAATTAAACAGTTTCCTGTTTAGTTGTGCGAACTTACAGTTTCCTCCTCGGACCACTTTTTATCGATGCCTTTAGGTACGGGACATTTAACGAGAGCCTGCAGCGCTCTTCCTGGATCATAGCCAGAGTCGTGCAAGATGTCCAGAGCATTGATAGTCGTGTCGTCTCGGGAAGCAGCCACACAACCGTCATCCGGGGATCCTCCATCACACATGCCAGCAAATGCAGCCATAGATCGAGCTGCTCTTAAGTACATCAGAAGATCCCCGTCCAATGCCATAGCTGGAATCCATCTTAGCTCCTCTCGTTCTTTAGAAAACTCTGGATCAGGAAGCAGCTCTCCAGGAGGTATACCCGGCCGATACTCAGGCAAACGGGCCTGACAAGAAACCAATTCCTGTACCCAAAATTCGGGATTGTGCGTGGTTAGCACCAATGCCAAAGCGAGTTAGTTGTACGCACCTATACTCCGGCTTGCTTTTCGAAATCTACACGAGCCAGTATAACTTTTAATTCCATTCTGTTCCTTTTGTTACATTACTGGTACGAGAAGTAGCGTGAGTACTTTATGTTTGTGTACAAACTAATGATCATAAATATAAGCATGAAAAAACGAGAATTGAAACAATGGTATGATTATTATACACATGTTACGGCTTTACATTTAATAACATTAGTTATGTTCACGTTTATGATACAAGCTATATAAGTTAATATAGCGGACAAAAGCACATTCACGAAATTCTTTTAGTGAACAGAAAAAACACGAATGGTGTAAATGAGAGTGAGCGAAAGAAGAAAAAACACGATATTTCACAAACAACAAATTACTTGGTATTTACAAGATGGAAACAGAAGATATTTATGGAAAAGACGACAAGATAAACGTACAAACGCTTTTCCATAAATTTTATGGTTTCAATATTTCAGTCGCAACATATTATACTCATAGATGGTTCAAGTAACCAATGGGTTATTGCATAAACAGAATTATTTCTGTCCGTGATAAATATGTTTTTGCAATTTCACCGTGACTGAATACCACTATAAATATAAAAATAACCTTATACTACATAATATCAACTTACATATTATTATAAAATGTTTCATCATAATAACTAGCATCATATTCAGGGTCTTTCAGTAGTAATAAATCGAGGGATGGCACTTAAGCATTGGGATTATACTGTTGAGCAAATAAGAATCGTGATCATTATGACTTAAAGAATAACTATCATTGTTATTTGAACCATCGACATACAACCAAACTGTGTAAGGAATAGGTATTTGATTCTCACTATTTAAATCTAATTTCTCTTTCAGCGTGTACAAATACAAACAGATATTAAGGTTGTAATTGGACAATGAAAACATATTCTATGAATGTGAACTTCAAGCACTAACGAAACACTGGTATCTCAATTGTTCTAAATTGTAACTAAGCACACGCCATGCATGTTTTCAATAATTCTTTAAAATAATATAATAACTACGATCGATAACATTACAAAATAATGATATATTCTTGGAACATGTTACCCAAATACATCCTTATTTCCATTTTCTTTGAAGAGCATATAAATTGATTGAATTTAATGCCATCGACATTTTAAATAAAAATATCAACAGTATTTATGAATTATTAATCAAAACCAATGGATGAGTAATAATAGTCTCAAAATAAGAATGTCAATCTGCCGAATAAATATTTCTATGTCCTTATTTGATAATAGTACTTATAGATTGCTACCAATGTCCATTAAAAATTTACAAACAACGCAGTTCCAAATCTCTTTGTTATATACAAAGTTGTTTCAAACTACAGACGCTTCAATAACTTTTGAACAATGTACACATACCTAACAATTTGAAATAATACAAAAATCATATTACTTTACTGTCCTAATTCCAATTACTTTCACAGAAAGATTGAAGTATATGAATTAAGAGCAATTACCACTGAAAATATTAAGTAATATGACAGAGTAATGTCACAATTATCTGGTGCTTTGATAATCATATCTCTGTTCTTAATCTATACACTCAAAATACATGTCTTAGGAGAACAAGCCTTGAGTTAGGTACATTGTGCAATATAGCTAAGTAGCAAAAAGGTTTTCAAGGTATATGGCAAACCTGGTGCGAAGGGCCAACCCGAATCTCGCCCTGGGTGCCGGCAGACATCTCCCCCTCCTCCGAAGCTCCACCGTCTTTCTCCAGCGTTTCGAGTGGCTTCTATCTTGGACTTTCAGTAAATTCCTATCATCCACCCCCTGAACTGTATAGTCATTCTATCAGTATATTTGTAACAATTTTGTAGAAAGAAGTACTGCTAACATGCTTCTTTTTTTCAATGACCCTTTTTTCAATAATGATGTCAGTTATTATGACATTACTTCTTAGATTATGGAGTTACATACATAGAATGATAGTTAATATCAAGATACACAATGGTAAATAGTTTCTAGGAATGCAAATAAACACTTGTAATTTTTTCATTATTTTTGAACCATCATCTTTACATTTTTTTTTCTATGTATATTTATGATTCAATTGGATCGATGAAATGTAACTATTAGATGTGTCTTATGAAAATATTACTAAGATACAATGTATATACTTTAAAAACTACAGATACAAAAAACTATATCGAAACATTTTTTCCTTTAAATATAAAAATATAGAGACATTATTTCGATTGTAACTATAATTCGCATTAATAGTGTGTCAATGAATAATAATTATCAGATGAATATGTAAATAAATCCTAAAAAATCAGCTACACCTGATTTGCATAATTATTCCAAAAAAAAAAAAAAGGAACAATTCTCTGACCTTGCAGAATGATAAGGTTCATAAGGGAAACTGAATGTTCGTGTAATAACCCATTAAAACGCACTCGCAAATACATATTTCTACTTTCTTGAAGTGGTCTTGAGTCACGGTGAAAGCGGTAAACGGCATAAATGAGCTTTATTTAATTGAAACGCTTTTATCGTCGTTTGTAACGCAATCGAAGCGTGCCAAGAAGTGATGGACATCATAAAAAAATTTTGATTGACTCATCAATGTGCAATGTGAAGATACAGAAAAAAAAACCAGCTATTTACACAATTTCGTCATGTACGCAGGAAAACGCGAATGAAATGTGTGCGTGGACGGAATTACGAACGAGAAGCAAGTTATTAAACTATTTCGACGTGTTACGGTCGATTCGTTAGAATTTTTCGTCGCACCGCGCCTCGCCTTGGCAGAATTCCGGGCAGCCGTTAAAATAAAGTGGAAAGCTATAAAATTTCAAGGCAAACTCACCCGTGATAAATGTTTCAACGACGTGCTCGCATTGTTCCTCCCAACGCGGCTTGCGTCCACGTATACGCGTTACACACGAACCCGATTATACCGATAAATGAGAGATAGAAACTTAATGATTCACTACAAATTAACTATCGAATATTACAGAATATATCTTTCACAAATCAGTAGCCACAACACCCAAACGCAGCCATCTTGTACTGCGTTTTGTTTCGTTTTTCTTTTGTGGGGGTGCGTTCCAATTCCATGCATTCCCTCGTTTCTTTAACGTCGATGGATTTTTAGTGGCAATTTCAATTTTAAACATTGAGATTTTTCTTAAGTTTCACTCTATTGTTCGATCTCTTCAAAGTTTACTGTATAATAAAGCGTACAAATTTACACTGATTTCGCTTTTGCAAAATTATATAGTAATTTTGTTCTGTGGTACTCTCCGTAAGAAAATGTTTAAATTTTTATATTTTGTTGGAAACTTTTACATGAGAATTACTAATTTACATATTTAACAATCAAATTTCTCGGAGAAAATCTAATTTTATGTAATCTTATTCTATTTATTCATCAAAGGAATAAATAAATTGATATATAAAATTGAGATTTAGAACTGAACCTGTTGTACTTGATAATATCAAACATATAATTGCCGGCATTGAATGCTAGTTATCTCTAGTTATTGCTTCTCTCTTTATCACGTATAACACATGTTGTCGGTGTTGGGTCGTGTACTTTCACATTTTACGCACTCTGTTCATAAAGTTCCGACAATTTTATTGAACGCAAAACATACCGTAGACATGGCGAAAAAAACTGCAATTTTGTTGATAGCTGATGGTTCTGAAGAAATGGAAGCTGTGATAACGGCAGACGTTTTACGTCGAGCTGGAGTACGTTTTGTAGGAGATATAACCTTAAATTATATCTAATATCAAACTTCAATATATTTACGCATTAATGATTTGCACTTAACACTAATTAAAATGATAGTTTATCTAATAAAAATAAATTATTTTTATTTTTGTATCAGTAGATATGACATTCTAATTTCTTAATCCCATTAAGAGAACTTCACATAATTTAGCTATTGTAAATTATTGTTAGATTGATGTCACTTTAGCTGGTCTTACTGATGCTCCATGCATAAAATGCAGTCGTGACGTTAAAATTTGTGCTGATACAAGTCTTAAAGATGCAGTTAACCAAAAATATGATGTTGTAATATTGCCTGGTGGTCTCGGCGGTTCTAAAGCTTTTGCATCAGTAAGTAGAATTAAAGCTTTTGATAAGAAACATATACAAACATATTTTTTTATATTGTGTAGTCAGCTGAGGTAGGAAAACTGCTACAACAACAAGAAAAAGAGGACAGAGTTATTGCTGCTATCTGTGCAGCACCAACTGCACTAAAAGCACATGGTATCGCTAAAGGAAAACAACTCACATCCTATCCTTCAATGAAAGATCAATTAACCGATGAATACAAATATTTGGAAGATAAAGTTGTGACTGATGGTATGAACTAAGTTATTAAATTCTGAATGCCTCTAAAGATATGATACTGTATTTTATATTTTAGGTAATCTTATAACTAGCAGAGGTCCAGCAACTGCATTTGCGTTTGGTTTGGCTATTGTAGAAAAGTTGCTTGATAAGGATACTGCAAACAATGTGGCAAAAGGAATGTTATACACTGAATAAAAATAAAAAAGGTTATATAGATGTGTGTTATGTATAAGAAATTGTATAATTGTATTTATATTATGCATTCGGGTTTAATAAATTGATATTATACTTTGAGAACGACTTTTCCTATCCACTTCTTCTACGTTTCATTTGTAAAGATGTAATATGTATGTACTTAACATTTTCAACTTTCGATTACATCAATTTGAAATCCCCCCTCACCATTCAATCACTTCCAATATGGCCGGCTTCTATTGCCAAGCTTTGTAGATTTTAAATATCACCTATTATTATGCTATCAGTGTTTAATATATTTAACAGTTCACAAGTTTCGATACAAAATATGCATTTATTTATTACATAATTTCGCGAGTATTTGATTTAGTATTTAAGAAGAAACAAATACTCGAGAACACATCCTTACAGTTTGTAAACATTTGGTTATCTAGAAAATGTTTGAAAGTGATGATTGGGATCTCGATCAGGTAAATTCGAAATAAATATCTGTTATTAAACATTTGTATCAATATCAGCCTGTTTTGCAATCATTATATAAAATGCCATTTAGATTGAATCGCATTCATTCAACAAGAAAATGCTAAGCACGTGTCGCGTCTGACAAAAGGCAGCGCAGAAATGATTCTCGTATCAATTTTTAATACGAATTTTCAGGATTTTCCGAATGACGTGGATGATAAATCAACCCAACTTTATTCTGCAACGGACAATAATGAAAGCGAACCGAAAAGACGTAAGATAGACATTTTTAGTGATCCCATTTCTTCAATTGACAATGATGTGTGTGATGTCAAGAATGTAAAAAAATGTGACGAGGATAAAGTATCGAGAAAGAATTTAATTCTTAGTATGTTTAACAAGAATTTGCCAGACAACAATATTTCTCAAGGTCTGTTAAGTAATTCAAAAAAGTCCACTGAAAATAATTCATTAAAATCACACTCTGAATATATACAGAGCAGTGAAAATAGTCAATTACCTAGGAAAAATTTAGTGCTTGGAATACTTAATAAAAAAAATGTACAGGATAAAGTTGCCAAAAATAATATAAAGAATTTAGAATCACCTAAGACTGTACCAAAAATTAAAAGCAATAGTAACATTAATCTACAACAACAAGGATCTACATTTCTAAATAATAATATAAAATGTCAAACCCCAAAAGAGAACATTAAAAAAAACAACTGTTTAAATAATGACAACAGTAAACAGATATCATCTGAGCTATCTAGAAAACAGTTATTGTGTAACATATTGAAACAACGATCTGTAGATAATGCAGAATCTAAAAATAAGGCTGCAATTAAACCTCCACAAGTACAGACGAATAAAAAGATGACAATAGTCAGAAGGTTTCCTGGTCCAGCTGGTTTACTACCCGATGATATAGATGCCAGTGTTTCTGCTATTTCATACTTAAATAGTTTGGAAGAAAATGAAGCTGTAGTGGAAACAAACGACACTGATCTACCTGAATATTGTTCTCAAAACACAAAAGATCTCTTCACAGAAGGTGCTTGGCAGTTGATGTTAAATGATTTGCCAGATGGGTTTTTAAAAGGATATGAAATTGCTACTATTAAACAAATGGCAAATGCAAATGGTTACAGTAGCACAAAAATTGAATTTTTGGCAGGAATAGTAGAGCGCATAGATCATAATCATGAAAATCCTCCTATTGTATTAAAAGACTTTACAGGTACCATTCAAGGAATTGTACATAGAGACATACCACTTAAATATCCTGGTTTATTAGAATCAAATGTTGTCATATTGCTATGTGATGTAGGCTTATTAAAAATTTCTGGTTCCCTTATCTCGAATAAATATCAAATTTTAATTGCACCTTCAAGTTTGTTAGCTATTTACTCTAACAAGGGTAAAATAGAGCGGACACATTATATGGAATCAGTTTTAGAAGATGTTACAAATGGTAAAGTAGAAGATGAAGATGAGATAGATCAAATTCTTACAAGAGCTCTAGAAGAAGAATCATTAAAAATAGAGCATACTAACAACATTAAGGGAACAATGAATTCTACAAAAAGTACACAAGATATTAATACAAAAAGTTTCAGTTGTAGTACAGATGTAAACAAAACATTTGGGAATATGAAAAAATCAATGAATTTTGATTCCATAAATGATATTTCCTTTTCAGTTTCTTCCAAAAAAATTACAGATACTCAGAAAAAGGATTTTACTAATCTAGAGTCTAAAATTGTTAAGCATATAAACGAAGAAAAGAGGCAATTAATATCAAATAAAAAGGAAACCGTGCAAAATGATGTTCAACAAAAATCTGAAACTTTATTACAATCTTTAAAAAAATATTCTCCAAATGCAAATGCAAGTAAAAAGTTTTCCCATAATTCAAAAATATTGCAAATGGATGTTGATCATCCAGTGTCTGTAAATACCTGTACAGAAAATGTTGAAACAAAAATGTTGAATGATAGGGTTCCTGAAAAAATGGATGTTGAAGAATGTGATGTAAATATCTCACAAGAAACAGAAGCTGTGATCAAACGGTTACATACTCCTTGCTATGACGAAGCTGAAAATATTCAATATAATACTGTGAAAAAGAATAAAATTTCAGTTAGATCGCGACTAATGCAGTTTAAAAATACAAATACGTTAACCCAATCACAGAACGCTGATTCTAAGTCTCTACCAAATTTAAAGAATGACAACGAATTACTTCAAGAAAATAAACTGGCAAAAATTCCAAAATCTTCATCCAATGTAACACTTTATAATAGTACTGAAAATGATTCTGATGATGAAATATTGTCTCAATTAGATATGGACGTTATTTTTAGTAATTATAGTAAATAAAATTAGTTATTCTTGATACGATTTTGTGGAAAATTGTTGTATCCATTAAAAATCGAGAATGTATAAAAGTAGTAGATCATATTTTAAAATCATGAGATTGTGAAAGATTAAATTTATAGTTCTTGCATCACGAAAGTTGAACACTATTTTAAGAACAGTAAGATGTCTGTAAATATTCCTGATTGAAAGTTTGAATAAAAAAATACATATATATTTTGCATAAAACCCAAGTGCTTTGAATTCATACCAATAATACTCCAACAAGTATAATCTAAAAATGAACAGATATGCTGTAAGTATTGATAATTAAACTTAGCATTATTTGATGGTTACTCTTAACAGTTTTGCTTTTGACGAGAACTACCTTATTCAAATTATATGTATATTACGAACAGATGGGACATTACAATTCCATATAAAATTTCTAAATATCATCATAATAATACTGGCTAAATTTGCATAGTACAGATGAATCAGCCAGCAATAAGGCCGAGATAATTTAATTGTTAGTGTACCAATGCAATTGAAGGTTTTTTAAAGCATTTCTTCGCATAGGAGTACCGTAATATAGAACGCAAACGATAGTATCTACGTACAATATTTTTTCTTTCCCAGTATCAAGTGCCACTGAAATCTTCATCGATTAAGATCGAAAAATAACCGATGATATAATCTAACGACGTGACCCTACGATCAAAAAGATTTCAAACAGCTGAAACATTGCTTGATAAGTTAGTTTATTTTTATTCGGCGATTGCTTTGAAATTATATTAATTCCGTGTCAAGAGGAACAATATACGAAATCTGGAAATATCGTAAGAGATTAAATATTTCAAGGACAGACGAAGACACAGACTGGTATCAGCAATGATCTCAATTTTCCTAACATTAGCCTGGATATCAGCCCTCATCGATCACGAGCGTAGGATCAATGATCTCAAATTCATAGATGAGATCTCCGTGACGTGGTTTGTGTGTACGCCAATGCGGATCTATTGGATCAACCTTGATGTACCCTGATTATCCGATGGTACATCTAGGCGCACGATCGTGCGATTATGAAGTGCAATTTACTCACATTAGTTACGTGAGACAGACATCTATACGTTACAATAAAATCGCACGATATACGAGAATGCGTATGACAATAGGTAAATGAAAACTGGCGGTGATTCGTGACAATCACTCGGGCTGAAAACTTGTTTCACATATAACGTACGATACAATAATATTTCTTTACGATAAAGAAAATAACAAACATTAATTATTTCACGATTGATCTTATCTAGCGTACTTTGAACTCTAGTGAAAAATTACATTGTCGTGATTAATGACTCGTCGTTTCTTTTTTAAGAAACTACTTCTAAACGCCCTCTACATATATTCATGAAATCTTTCGATCTACACATTATGGGTACTTTAGTAGATTTCATATGATAAGTTATCCGATCATCTAAATTGCCAGAGGAGTCACAAAAGAAAATTACATTCCATCATACAATTGCATAATATTACACACAGCGTTAGAGGAATTTGAAATTATAATAACATTAACATGCGTTTAATCGACTTGGGATTTTTCGTAACTTTATTTTCCAATAACGAGACTATTAGAAGCATAGACTAGATTCTTTAAATTTTGATTTCCTTCGTCTTTCGATAAAACGTATTATTAAACAAATAATATTTGTACGAAATTTAGTATATGCTTTCTTCAAAAGGCGTCATTCAGTCGAAGAGACAACATAACCGTCTTTGTTTGGCGCAATGCATTAAATAAATTGTCTTGTTGTTTTGTCCAAACATGAATTGCGCCATACGCAAACTTGAAATGCCAGTTGATAAGTCGGGGCCGGTTAAGGCAGAAACAAGTCAACAAATCTCACAAAGGTGAGCAATGTAAACAACATGAACATATATATATACGCGTAAATGAAAGTATTCTTTTTGTTTTAGAGAGAGGTAAAAGATTATAGTGTTGCAACATACCCTCGACTGAATTCGATTTTAATTCGGTCGCATTTAATTTTATAGCAGACGTTGGAAATGTTTTGAAATTCGCGTAGTAAATGAACATGTATCATTTTATTAATATACAGCAATAAATAGGTATTTATAATTTCATCGTAAATTTTTGAAGTCGTACGACTACATCTAATCGATTTTATGGGTTATGGCTCTCGAAATTAACATTGACAATCGGTACATCTGCTTCGAACGACAGTGGGACATGTTAGACTGTGTGTCTCGAGATAAGAGATCATGTTGAGAATTCTTTGTTGGCTAATGATGAGCGAAGCACATGACATCGTTATCGGACACTTCCATGATACTTGTTGCTCATCGTTTTATCGCAAATATCGTTACTCGACTAATACCTTAGATCCTGCATTTTTTTTCTACTTTATTACACTCGTTTATGCAACGAACACAATTATTCAATTTGCTTATCAATGGGTAGAAATACCAGTTCAATGTTTATTCGTAAATAAGGGTTTAAGAAGGTTGATATTTTGGTTGTAAACAAAGAATTGGATACGCAATGACAAATTGAAACGGACTGGCTTCTTCTCGTCTAGACTGCGTTTACATAAATCTTTTGAACGACTACTCGCGTTAAAATACTCGCGTTAAAATACTCGCGTTAAAATACTCGCTCGTCGACTGACCACGAAAATGTTTGTCTTTCTTAATTCTAGAACGATAAACACTGTCGATATTTCGTCTGCTTCGCAATAAAGAAGGTTATGGAGACACGTAATGCACAAAACAATTTGAAATACTTCATGGTTATTGTTCCAAGCATTATACTGATAATCCCTTCTCGATACTAGTTCGTCGTAAACATCTGAAAAGTCTTAATTATGGAAGAGAAATAACGTCGGGTCGCGGGCATCCTTAAGCCGCTATGATAAGTGAAATGCTACGGATGCTAACCGATAAAGAAGGATAACTAACTGTCAAAATGGAATTATAATTTCACCGCCATGTTGTCTACGGAAAACTAATCTGCGAGTCATAAACAATGCGTAAAGAGTTAACGATTACTTGTAAAAGAATATTTTACGCGAACGTGAATGACACATCGAGGTGAATTGCTAATAACCTTTAAATAAATACCAAGAAGTAGTAATTTCAGCCTTTTTTCTTCAAAAAGACGCAATTAGAGCAGCGTTAACCTATACGTGCAATCGAATGGATCTAGAAAAGATGATTTCATGCAACTTAAAGCGTTACAGGTATTCATGTTTGTTTAACAAATTATTCTTTTCTATGACTCATGATCAATAGTTTTTATCGAGTTGTTAGTGATCTATTTAAATTAATTTCAATGACGAATAAACACGTATAAACGAGAATATTGATAAAAAAAAACAGAAAAACATTCCGTAATACGTAAAATTGTGTTTGATGGTTTGTGAAAACGCGAAACGATAGCGTCGTACGCGAACGGTTACGCGAAATTTTCATTAACAGGCGGATGTTAACTCGTGACAGAGTGCTTGTCGATGCAGGTACCTGTAATTTGCAGTTACTACCGCAATTTATCTTTTACCGGGAACATTGCGAAACTAGAAATGAGTAGCAGCTATCCACAACGAAACGTCACTTATCGGCGGGGCAATCTGACGACAATTATTTTCTAGTTGTCCGCGCTTAATTCCCCGTTAATTACATTTTTTCATGCCTTCCTTTTAATTACAACGACATATGAATCTCGATGATTTATCAGGAAAAATACGATTGATTTCCGTTTCATCTAGCTTAAACTTATCGTCGAACAACATTCCGCGTCTTTGTTTCGAATACTTACGCAAAAGGAATCGGCGCAAGGAGCCACAGACTTCTGATTTATCGCGGTAGTGGCGGATACGTCTTAATGAACGTACGAATCGTGATACGACTCAATTGTGACGTACGACGTGTACCAACGACTTCGAAAAATACGTGCTCGAATTTTCGAAACCGTTCGGATAATCGCGTTCGTCGAGCGTCCTTTCGTGGAATTGGTTCACCTGTCTGACGTAAGTCACGTTTCGGCGCGGAAAAGGTTGGTAAACACCGATGTGCGATCTATCGGTAAATCGCAACGCGGGAAAAGTGAGCGATTGTCGATAGGAGGGGTTCAGGGAGAGGGGAAATTTGTGCAACAGTCCTGGAACGATACAGAATGGCACAGTGTGGCCCGGCGCGCGACGCGAAACAGGTGATATCGTGCATCCGTGAAATGATAGGACGACTCGATTAACCGAACGACGAGAATTTCGGCGACATATCTACGGAGAGATTCGACTATCGTTTAATATTCTCTATCAGTCCATTCGGAGGTCAACTTTCCATTTGTTCCTTTAAACGTCGACCTTGCGGACACCTCCCGCAACACAATTACACCAATTTATTTTCCGTTGTGCCTCTAGCGTTCTATAATATTCGTTTTTTTTTTTCTTTTTACACGTCTCTCCTTTTTAATACGGTCGAGTGCTCGTAGAATCCGTAACCGTTACCTTGAGTCGGTAATTTTCGAGCCGTTTTCGTTCCCGCCAATTTATGTCTCTCGCGATAATCTCGAACGCGAAATCGAAGGAATCGTTTTACGGTGTACCGAGACGAGCCCTGTGTCTGCTGCGATCGGTGAAGATAGAGTAAGCGTCGAAAATTGCACGAAAGCGAGTTCATTGGGAATGCACGGATTCGTGCGAACACCTGGGACTACATCCCCGTGAGAGCAAAGGGATCGGACCAAGGAAAGGATTGTCAAACTGTCGAGTAAGTGTACGCGTATTTGGTTAGTTGAAAATGTTCGTTTAGTTTGCGGTGACGGGTGTTTTTCTGTAGTTCAAACGGTTACTAACCTGTTGAGGATTTGTACAAATACGGAATCGTGAATTTGACCTAAAGATAGGGAAAGATAATGGAAGAAAATGGAGAATATGTTATAGAGTAAATATATTCCGTTGTTCAAGAAAAATCAATGTTTATTTGTGCGTTAAAATTCGAATAAACTTTTTGGTTAATCTGATAATCTGATATTATTATCGGATTAACCAAAAAGTTTATTCGAATTTTAACGCACAAATAAATATTGATATTTCTTGAACAAGGGAATATATTTTTCTTGCACGCTGGTAGCGCTTCCATCGATTCTTTTTCTCGAAGGTTGAAATAATTTTCGTATCCTGTCATTCTGTTTAATTTCTATAATAGCAAATAATTGTCGCAACGTCTCATAGCAAAGAAATTCTATACTCGTGTCCTTGGGAAGTAATAGCTTCGAGTTTGTTGGCTTTTCAAAGAAGAAAAGGATTAACGTCGTTTTACTAATCGTTTAGTTACTTGATTAGAGACAGGTTGGCGGTATTCGTTTGTTTTTAATATCACACGAGTGTTATATATCGCAGAGACAATACGCCAATCAAATTGTATCCGATAATTTGAAAATATGAATTTATTATTGTTAGAAAGTAAACGTTATGAATAATAACACTTTTTTTAAACAATGTAGCATCGGTCGAGTTATTTATGGTCGAGTATCGAACGAAACTAAAATATTTGTATGAATTACAATACGCTGGTCGAAGTAATTAGGGCATGTCCAATAAGTGACACCGAGATTATCCAGTGCACCTAACTCCCTATTTACACCGTGCTCCTTTTTACACGGTTTTCAAAATACAATTTCTAAAAATACAATTTTATAGTGTACAAATATTTGTTCAATCATTCGTTGGTACCATTCGTTTGTTAATACTGACATTAAACACAGAACATATGTACATTCGTACATGTCTTGATTAAGGCAGTAAATCTTTATAGCAGCAGAAAAATGCATGTGTTTTTAGATAACGTGCTTCGTACATTTCTTATTTCACGAACGTATATTTTTCCGTTTGTATTTTATTTTATTTTACGTCAATTTAATTAAGTAACTTTCTAAATTACAGGCATCCTTTTCTATTTCTTAGTTTAGAGGGGCTTTCATGGAAACAATCATGATTTCGATCGAAAATAAAATATAAATTAGGCGTGCTTTAAAGATTCTAATGGAACTCGAATTTTATAGGGATTAAAAATATCGCGATATCGAGTAATCAGTATTGAATGAGACCTTTGAAATTCTTTTCGTATCAACAAGTAATTAGTACAAAGAACGTATAATTATATCCTCGTGAGGCATAACATGCTATCCAAATATGTATTGTTTAATAATCCATTTAACATTTCGCAAATTATTACGAATGAAGTAAAAAACACCGCCATGTTAAACGCGCAATAACTCCTTCGTATTCTTAAAACTGTTGATTCCTAGGTAAATCGCACGGAATATGTTCGCCAAATAATTGCAACTCCAAAATTTCCTGGATACGCGACACAAGTTCTTGATAGTAAACATTCACCGTTACT